CCTCACGAATAGGACCTCACAGATACGACCTCACGAATAGGACTCAGGAAGTGACGTATTGATTGTTCAATGGTGGTACATTATAAGTAAACGATGCCGGGGCCATTAGTATAAATATATTTCGTATTTCGTAAATAAAAACTGAGCTCGCGACGTGGACTCGGGTCGTACACAGTCAGATAGAGGGACTGTGGGCCGAAGCAGCAAGGGCCGGGAGCAAGGGAGTGTTTGGTTATTTAATAAGCCGTGGTTTGCGGTGCTACTATTCGATGACTCGCGATGTAACAGTCGATACTGCGACTGATTAAAACACCGTGTGCCGTTATATTCATGAGTACAGAATGTGTTTTGAGGCCTTCGAGTTCCAGTTGATAATCTTGAATTTACCGGTAGTGATGTTTTCAACAATCAGATTTGTCGATACTTTGTCGAAGTTGGTCATGGAGAGGACATACGTATAGAGTCATGTACGTCCTGGCAGAGTACATTTGTACTGATGACAAGAAATAATGATGCTCGCAAAATAATTCTAAAATAAAACAGTGTTCGCTTATAATTATAAATGTGTGGGTTGACGAGAACTGCGGTGTTACCTAAATATTAGCTTTGAAAAACAGTGTTTAGATTTCCAAATAATCTGGGTGACAGTATACTCTCAATATATTAACATAAAATATACATGATTCGTCTTCATTGATTAAACAAAATTACTTGACCCATTATTTGAATGGACATTAGCAGTAAGTTTCATGTTTTAATGCTGAAATGTAATTATTTACGCAACAACAAACTTATATAGAACTCACAGGTCTCACGTTTTGTCCCAGTTTGTGCTATTACAGGGAATGACATTTTCCAGTACACGAATAACGCTTTATAAATGCTCTCCGAGTGCACATTTTATTTCAAATGACAGCAGTGTGATGATACCATTCAAGCAAATGTTTTATTTGCAAAATCATGTCGAAATATGTAAGATGGTATGTTTTAATACGTGTTCTAAACTCCACTTCTTATTTAAATTAGGAAAGGTCTTAGAACTCCATTTTGAGTAAATTGTACTAAAATGGATATTAAAATTTTGATGGAAATGTGTTGTCATAAGAATACATAGTTCTACATTTCACTAAAAAGAGGGCTTAGATAATTCGAAAAAAGAACTCCGTAGCGCAGAATGTACCTATTCCTCTCCAATACATATAGCTTCAACTTGACAGTGAACCCCTTTCATTCACGGTGAATCGTTATTTAAGGATGTAACCCTGCATATTGTCTGTTTTTCTGTTGCCTAATAAGTATATTAAATGAAATTGGAAAATGTCAAATAAATATATTTTCTATTACTATTTTGACAAATTATTATACTTAGTTGAGATGATGAATTCCACGTCTTTGTTTTACTCATTTAATGAAATATAAATTGCACTTACTACTATATCAGAAAAGACAGCAATTACATAAAAAACAATATAGAGTACTGAGGCCTTTCATAGAAATGTAGATGTTTTAAGAATTATCATACTTCTACCGTTAAATGCGATTTCAACTTGAAGTTAGCTTGTTCATTACGGCTGAATGAAATTCATAGTCACATAACTTACTTGCAGTTGACTGCCGAATGGACTGTGAACCAAAACTGTGTTGGAGTTCACATTCAGAAGATGCGTAAACTAACCATTGAGTTTAATGTTTAAATTCGCCACGGTTTAGAGAATATGGACAAGAAGCCCCTGCAAAATACTAGTACGCGGATTGGCTTTAATACTAACCTCAGAGTACGTATTATTCACAATGTTATTTTTCTCTTAAGAGGCAGTAGCTCGTGCACCTTTGTGAACACTGTGACAGACTCACTAAGGTGTAAAAGCCAAAATATCCGACTATAACTACATATATCCATGTTTTACTAGTATATCACCTCAGCCATTCGACTACAACTACACATATCCATGTGATACTAGTATATCATCTCAACCATCCGACTACAACTACACATATCCAT